TCTTAGAAAAACCCATTAATCAGTTTATACCTGGAGATGGCTACCAAGAAGCTTTCTTCACGCCCTGCAAAGCACCCTGATTTGCTAAAGCACGGAAGACGATCCGAGACATCCGAAACTTCTCATAAACAGCACGAGGGCGACCGGTGAAGATACACCGATTCCTCAACCGGGTAAAGGAGCTATTCCTGGGAAGCTCCGACAACTTCTGACGGTGTGCCTCACGCATATCCGCCGGAAGACTCGGGTCGTTACAGATGGCCTTGTAGAGCTTCCTCTTCACCTCGCATTTGGCCGCAAGAAATCGGCGTTTCTGATCTAGAATGTTCCGTGTGAACTTGCCCACTTTCCCCAAACTCATCTTCGCCGCTCGTAGAAGAATTCAGCTGCCGCTTTTGCTTAATCGTGGCCGGAAAATGATTACGATTGCCTTCTTTACTGGATAATCAACAGTCTAGGGTTGGGGCGGATCCTTAGGCCCATCTGGCCCACTCAAATCGGGCCTGGTTTCTCCTTTTAGCAAACGAAGCCCAATATATTTTTCTACCGTTGTTATACCATGGACCAGCCAGGTAGACTCTGATCCTAAATTGTGAATATTTAGTATGTAAACAATGGGAAACAAGATGTCAACTTTTAAAGAGTAAAATTCCCACTATATGTCTACTCCAACTCAGTCCATTCTTATCAAATTTTTGCCCATTAAACCAAATCTTCTTAGAAGAATGGTTTATAATGACATTGTGTGTTTTCTTTCCCACAAAAAAGGTGGAATCCTTTGTCCTAAAAGTTCCATATCTCGGTCTGACAAGATTATGAAATAGTAAATTATTTTAGTAACTTAATAGCTCATTAAGTTGGAGTGTCCGATGTTTACAAGGCCAAATAGAGTTATTCACACGAGAATGTGAAATTCTTACACTACAACTATTCTGCTTCAATTTTACATTCTTATCCACAATCTTACACCCACAACATTGTGTGTTTTCTTGATATGTTGTATGTTTTAGCATTGTGTATAGCCTAGGCAGGTTCAAACCATCATTAGGATGCCTTTATATATAATCAGTGTTATATTTAAAATAAAAATAAAAAAATCATGTAATGATCAGAAAGAAAATAAAAAACACACCACAATATCACATTGTGAACATAGCTCTTTTGTAATTTAATATAATAATTAAGTATTTTAACATCCACTAACAAATACAATGCCTTTCGCATGCATCCAAGAATCCAACACAAGACTAAGACTAAGAGTGAAATTGGTCATCCTATGATTTGAGTTGTTTGGTTCAACACATGAGTTTCTGCATGATGAAAGCTATTGCAGCACAAACAAAGTATATGAGATCATTCACCATCACTGTTTTTTGTGTGGGCGTTTCATTTTGAGGAGGTGAGAAACGCCAGCAACTACGTGCAGTCTGCTGTTTGGAACGCCTGTTTTTGCAAGCGCCTTCCCGTGTTTGTCCAGGAGAACGAAGCAAGGAACATAATTTATGTCGTAATTCAGAAGCTGGATAATAAGAACACAACAGAACAGAATAAGTCAGTTGCAATTCAAGCATAAAATGCACTCATCAATGAAGTTAGGCCAAACAAAACAGAATCATATAACGAGATAACATCAATATATGCTGATTAGGAGATGGACTCTGCTACTCGTATTTCACACAAGTGCAAGTACTACAGAAGATATTGGATGCCTGGATCCACAACAAACTCTCAAGTGACATCGATATTGGCATAGGATTAGGAGTTACCACTATCTACTCTCATTTCAGTAACCCAAATTCGAGATTGTGTGTCATTACTCGATGCCAAGTGCAAGGATATAAAGACCACGGAAAATCCCCACTGAATTGATGGTTAATTGGAGATTTGCAGCATCACCCGTGTCCAGTTATAAACTCATCAGGAACCAAGAACCTCTACAGCATTCACATAACCAAACAAATCTCTACAAACAGCAATGTTCTCACAAAGTCCCTTGATGCTACACTGAGAAAAATCCTAAACAAAAACATTTTTTTAGTATCAACATCGCCAATGAGAACATCCTTTTGGGAATCAGAGAAACTAGCCAAAATAATGTTGATTTGTAAGCAGTGAAACCTCTATAACCTACTTTGGCATTACTACATGATCCAGAAGTGATTATCTAGAGAATCAAAACCAGACTCCAATAGCTCCAACTCTCCAAGAACAACATGAACGAAACTTTAATTACCATTTTTTTTTTTTTTCGGAGTTACGAGGAAAACATGCGGCCACTACCCGAAGATGTGTGTGAACCTACCCGGTTGACTACAAGAGGCAAACTAGTCTACGGTGAAACCTCTATCACCTACTTTGGAATTACTACATGATCCACATTTAGTAGGTGATTATCTAGAGAATCAAAACCAGACTCCAATAGCTCCAGCTCTCCAAGAACAACATGAACTAAACTCACATTACCATTTTTTTGGAGTTACGAGGGAAACGGGCAGCAATTATCCGAAGGTGTGTGAACTACAAGAGGCAAACTAGTCTAGGTTATCCATAGTTGCTCAGCTTAAACCAATAAGGCCAATACTCCATTGTGTTACCAAGTCAAAACCAACTTGGATAGATTGCCCACATTAGCAATTTTAAAACCTATACTTCTTCATCACAATACAAAACAAACCACCAAAAGAATGACTCTTGAATGGTAAAACTGAGATCTTTGAACTTAAATGGAGCTAAAATTTGGATATTACAACGCAGCAACAGCAACACAAGATCTGTATATCTATTTTAGCTCAAAATATAAGAGAATATTTAGTGCGCAACGAAAATAATGCGAAATTGGGAACAGAAAATGTGCACCTCAGGCAACCATTGATCACTCGTAGCATCAGCGTAAACAATGTTGAGCCAATCCGAGTTCCGCTTCTCGACCTCCGTAACGAAACTAAGCATAGAGTTGCAGAGCTGGCACGCGGGGGAGTAGAATTCCAACACCGTAGCCTCTTTAACGCTCGCCAGCGCCGCCGCAAACGCTCTCTGCTCCGCCTCCGATTGTTCCTCCGGACTCAACTTCTTCTTCATCGCCGGGGGCGCCTTCATTCCGAGGGAAAAATTTCGGGACTCGGGCATGTTATGGATGAAACCGAAGGCTAAGGAACTCAAATTTTGAAATGATTTGAATAGCCATGGCGTCTCTAAGGTACACGGAGTTGCAGGGCTTTGGGGGTTGTTCTGGTTAGGGATAGCAGTATCCCACGGCCACTTTAAGCAGAATAGAGGGTTGTTGGACTTGGAATTCTCCTTCCCCATCGATGAATTGTCTTAGAACTTCTCCGACGCTTGTTGACATCACTGACGGCGAACTGACCAAAACCCAAAAGTATCGCCGGCGGTGCTGTTTTCCGAATTGGGCTGATCCCTATTTACTGGGCTTCCCCAAAAAATAGGTTTTGGGCCTCACATAAAATCACCTATAACATATTGGGCAATTTATATCCTACACCACGGCGTACATTGCACTATGCGCCCAGATGCAAAACGACGTCGTTTTAATTATTTTTTTTTTTTGAACTTTCCCGCTCCAGTGAATGGCAGTAGGCTTTTCTTTAAAAAAAAACCCGCTGTTCAAGAATGTTCATAATGTTATACTTGAATACACATAATGTCATACATGAATACACATAATGTTATAACAAAATATACATACTCTTTTTAAAAGATAATACACATAATCTAACATAATACATAATAAACATAAACTTTTAACATAATACACATCAACTCTTAACATAATACACACAAATTTTCTGATTCGGATGTACATAATTGTATAAAAACAATGTACATAATTGTATAAAAAATACACATAACTGTATGAACCAATACACATAACGTTGTGAACGAATACACATAATCTCAGCAACTTCCTACTGCGCCTCCCAACACGACCCCAAAACGACGTCGTTTTGGGAGACGCGCGGCGCACAGTACTATGTGCGCCGTGGTGTAGGATATAACGATTGAACATATTATGTACCTATAAATAATTAAATGTACATAAAATGTTAATTGTAAATATATAATTTGGACACGATTTATCATGTACATAGTGGACCCTGATCGCCTGATTCACATTATAACAATTACAATAAATTCTTAAATGTTCAGTATAATTTTTTTAGGTATACATAGAGTTTTTATCTTCGGACACAGTGACTAATCTTTTTGCATAGACACATCTTTTGAGTGGGACAACTGATCTGTAAATTTAACTACCTATAACTAGCATGTATCATTGTCTCATTGTTTAACATGTTAATAAGTTGATATAGTATTGTTAGTTAAAACTAACTCACGACTTTATACTTAAACGACCCAAAATATCTTGTCATTAGTAATTAGTTATACATTAGTCTTAGACTTTTGTTATGTCATTTCGTCCTTGTCGGTTAACAAAAGAGAACTATAGAAGTGGAGGAGAACAAAAGATGTGGCTGCGCATCAAAAAAACAATCTGATTTTGACATCAAACTAGAAAGGGATGGACGGTGAAGGAAACGGTGTTCACATGTGCCCCTTTAACATCAGATACACCACGCACGTGTTTAATACCAGCCGTGAATTTTGCCTCTGCTTTTTTAAAGAATTCAATAATCTTTTATCTTTAATTCAGCTATTATTCGAATTTGTGTTTCAAATAAAACTCAGTTTGTAATCAGTTATAACAAAAAATACCAATAGTTATCTTTCACACAGAATCGATTTAAAATTTTGTAGTTATCAAATCAATTATTCAACTAGCTCTACCCTAAAATAATGTAAATCAAGCTTCAAGAATTTTGTACCAATAATATACATGGAGTAATACCTGTGTAAGACCGTATTACGAATAATTAATTTATAGGCTTTTTTTCAAAAAAAATTATAATAAAGATATAAATATTAATTAATTTATTGGTGAATATGACTTTTTATTTAATATTTCAAAATAGTAAGACATGCGGTTTTAATGTTTCAAAATATTCTTAAGTTTATATTTAACTATAATAATATAATATAACCAAGCTGTCAATTAACAGACCATGGTCTCATGATGGCGATAGATTTCCATTCCTAATAGAAAACTATTAACAAATAATTAATTAGCAACCACTAAACATCATCGCTTTCATGCTAATGATAGCTGGTAGACGCCTCCGAAAACGACGACGTAATGTAATCCCTCACTTCCCTGGCAATCACATCTTTCATGGCATCCCAAAACACCACCGGCAAACTCTCAGCCGGCCTCTCCGGCGGAGAGTGACGGCCCATTCCCGGCGGCGCCAGGGACAACGCCGTCATTGGGTCGAACTCGTCATCCCAAGTTCTGTTTCCAGTGTCCACTCTCGGACTCTCACTGTCCGTTTCCGATGATTTTTCCGTCTTGGATTCGGTAGATCCGGACGAGTTAACGTTAACGTTAACGTCCGCCGCCGTCATTGGAAGATCAGACGGCTGAGGTTGTTTTTGGTGCCTGCGTTTTAACGTGGAGTTCCAGTGATTCTTGACGGCGTTGTCGGTGCGTCCGGGGAGCAACCGCGCAATGGTGGCCCACCGGTTGCCGTACCGCGAATGGGCGGCCAAGATGGCCTCATCCTCCGCGGCGGAGAACGGGCGGTGCTCCACGGTGGGACTGAGCTGGTTGCACCACCGGAGGCGGCAGGACTTGCCGGAGCGGCCCTTTATGTACTTGCTCATCATGGACCAGTTCCGGGCGCCGTACCGCTCCACGAGACGCGTCAAGATCTTGTCCTCCTCCGCACTCCACGGCCCTTTGATCTTCTCCGCCTGATTCCCGCCGGCCGAAAACGACGATCCAGAAGAACACGAATCCGACGACGTGGAAGACGTCGACGACCATCTATGAAAAGCTCCCATTATGGAGTGGAACCCAAGAAGATCGAATTGAATAGTTTAAAGACTGTAACTTTTTGGTATAATTTGTTGGAAATCCACACTTCTAAATAGAGGAAATTCTTGCTTGGAGTAATTCTTGCTTGGAGTGATGTGGGGAGTGGGTTGAATGATTTGGAGTTGAAGAACTATATATAGATGCAGATGTTTATATAATACTGAGTAGTGAGTATTATATATATATATATATATATATATATATATATATATAATACGTCTGCACAGTGCAGTGACAGATGCATGCACCAGCTAGCTCCTGCTAAGCTTTTTTAACACTCTACTTAAAGATTAAATTTTTTTATTATTATTATTATAATATATGTGATGTCATTGGTGTATTTGATCTTATTGTGTCAGCAAGTAAACGTTTACCGACCAAATTAACATTTAATTACCCAATATTGGCTAGGATTTACCTAAAAGTCTGAAGCCGCTACCTAATGTACGTGTTGTGGATGAAGTCCGCCTTACAAGAAGTTAAACCAGCATAGGAAGTCAGTGTTTAATAACTGTTTAAGTTATCTTTTAGTAATTGTGACAGAATGCTTGAATATGAATGACTTTTTGATTGTTGAGTTAATTACTAGAGTGAAATGACTCACAACCCCTAAATCACCAAGTTGAACAAAACTAGGTTAATACTTAACAAACTATTAGGTCATGGGACCTATGACCTAAAAAAAAATATGGGTATTTATAACTATTAAAAAAAAAAACATAATGATCATAAAGAACTTTTATACTGTACGTATTTATGTTTCTCATTTTCACACTACTTTATGTAACATCATAGAATAACTCAAAATATCAGTTGTATGACAAAGAAATATATATATATTTTTAATGAGGTATGGGCATTATGTAGTATTAGATGGTGTGAATCACGCGGCAAAGGAAGTCATAAAAATTGGAGTGGACCCATGGTTTTAGGTAGTCCAACAGTACAGTGGTGGCTTCATGGAAAGTGGGGAGTGTGGAGTTGGTGGGAGTTAATGCCCCCTTAACTAAATCGGTGCTTAGATCCCAAACCAGTTGTTAAGCACATACTAAACACATTATTATAGGTTACTTTAATTTGTTTTCTCGTAGCAGATCAGATCTGTCCTCGTTGGTTCTGTTTTGTCTTTTATATATGGATTCCCAGATCAGATGGCGACATATAATCACCACCATTATATTTGTCATCTTGACTTGCTAGCTAGCTAGCTAGTGTTCATGCATGGCACGCAGAAGGTTCATTGAACTGCCTCTAATTGTTCGTTAACTCGTAGTGCTCCCTTGGTTTGAATTCGTCGTTGGTAATGATATATGGATGAATCGATGTGGGGTGGGTTTGTTGTCGTTTTACTTTTTGCGTATGTTATTATTGTTTTGTACAACGTCGCCGTACAACGCTGCAGAGTTGTTGCGTGTTGATAAAAAATGTCATTGGCCTGGGAATAATTTGTTTTTATAGCTAGGTTTTGTCCAACAAAGAGGACATACATTATTGTTTATCCGATATGGTTTAAACACTTTTAAAGGATTCTGCAAGGAGTGGTTGAGTAGCTGGAGCAATTTTCGTATTAAAATGTCACAAGTTTGATTCATCTCGATCAATACTCTTTCGGTTGAGTAAGTCACACATAACCTTCTTAGTGTAATTTATCACCTCTCCGTAATAGGTTTGGAATGTTTACCATTATTTTTTGCCATCTGCTACTTAATCCAAAATGAATGTGCTAATTGATTAAAACCATCAAAATATCTGGACCCTTTTGATTGTCTTTAAAAAAAAAAAAAAAACAAAAGTCACTGGAAAATGATACACATGATATATACTTTATCTTAAATATTCTTGATCAAGGAATTAGCTTTATACAAATTAAAACGTGATTTTTAATGTTGAAATAATTGGTAGTGTTCCTACCTTGTTACATGCAATCATGCTCGTGACTCTTTACCTTCGAAATTTCGAATACGGACAACGGAGCGCTGTCGTTGTTTTTTATTTTGTAAGATGAAGATAGAAATTCACAATTATTATTAGAGAGTGTATGTACATGTAATAAATTATAATTTTATGTAATAGGCTACAAATCACAATAAAAAAGTTAAAAAGTTGTATTAACAAAACTCTGATTTGTGCAATAGACTCAACGGAGTGAGTGTTTATACACTCAAAAAATTAGCCAAATAAAAAATTATCTTAGGAGTAAGGAGAAAGTCGATGATAATGTTGTATATCACCCTATTGTTAGTTCTGCCTTCACTAATAGATGAGAAAAGCCTCAGCCAAGTTGGCGGAAACTAAATGTTGATGTTGCAATCGACAAGGATGAAGGTGGAATGAGTTTTGACTGAATTTTACGAGACAAAACATTTTTTATTGAGATAAGAGGCTGAATCATTGTTAAAAGAGAAGCTCTCAACTGGATAAATGCAAAACAATTTAAAAAATGTTTATGTGAAGTTTGATGTTTTGGTGGTTGTTCAAGACCTAAATCTGAACTAAAGTGTACCTTTTTTTGATTTAAATTACTTATATTTGATGCAAAAAATGTGTTAATTACTTTTGTTCATTTCCATACCAAAACATAGGGTGTGAACCATTCTCTTCCTTTGTAATATTCTATTGGATGATCATGTGATTTTAATTAGCACTAATTTAAAACTTTGGCAAAAAAAGGAAAAGAAAAAAGGAAAAAAGTGAAAGTGGGCCCCTGGAAGTAGTTTGCAGGGGAAGAATTCAAATCTAAAGGGGTGTGGGAGTCCGGTCGGACCAACCAACGCCTGAGATCTATTGGTCTGAGCAAAGCGGTTGGTTTGGAGGAAGAGTCCAAGGAGTTACACGTAGACCGGGCCCCACGTACAGCCAGGACGAATCTCACGCGATTCGAGTCAGACACTGCTTTGACTTTCGAGCGTTATGTCCTGAATAAAAAGGTACTCCTCGTTGGGGAGCGTGAGCAGAGGCGCGTAATATATATTTTTTCTTTTTAACAAACAAATTGAGATTTACATCATAATTAAGAGACTACTTTGAGGATTAACTAATTTACAAATCAAAAACGTTAGTTGTTCACTCAAATTTAACTCTTTTTTTTTTTTCCTCACTTGATTTCCTAGGCTCCCTCGTTCTACGTTATTAGTAAATAGTAATTCATTACTACTTATTATTATATTGTGTGTTTGGATCAATTAATTTATCTAATTGTTCTCACCACTACATATTGATTATTATATATTGTGTGTTTGCATCAAATTTGGTAAGTTATTATTAATTTGCCCGCACAAATTTAGTTCAATAGTTCAGTAGATAGTATTTGAAAGAAGAAATTAAGATTTAACCTGAACAGTCATAATATGATAATTATATTCAAAGTAGTCAGATTTTTAATGCGAACTGAAACTCTTAAGATGGGAGATTCAACATTTTGGAGAGAAGGAAGATGAAAATATCATTAACTTTATTTTGCATAAATATGGTCCACATTGGCACACGATTGTATGTAGTTTGAAAGCAAAGAGGTAGCGCAGGTAGTGGTCAGAATTTCAGCGGAGATTTTGGAAGTTTTCAGTGACTCCGGAGACAACAAGCAATTATATTGTATGTATTGCAGAGTTGGTATTTGCACAGCTGTTTTTATTCCTTACCGGAGAAGGGAAACACTATTTCTGTTATCTACTATCTACTATCTACAATCTACTATACTAATAAGAGCCCAAGAGAGTTAGGCCTATAATGGGTAGAAAAAATGGTGTAGAAAAAATAGCGGTCACAGATTTTAATCAAATGAATGGCTCAGATTGATTGAAAGATTGATCAGATTTAAATTTTACACTAAAATTTTCTAAAATACCCTCACACCGTTACTAATTCTGTTAAAATTTTATGAATTGTCGTTAGTTCACCATTAACTTACTCATTGATTTTAATAGAAAAAGGTCTTAGGTTCGAATCTCATCCCAATCAAAGTTGGCATAATTAGTACTCTATTTTACTCTTATTAAATTATATAAATAATAATTTAGTAGTTTCAACAAAAATAATACATATGCATTTCTTTAATTTATAATTATGTGTCCACAATGCCTTTATTAAAAAAAAAGTTATTCATTATCAATAAATTAACTAAGAGAAATAATTTTAGTAGTTATATTGTCTTTATTTTTCTTCAATATAAAAATTTTTTATATTCAAATTTATTAATTGATTATATTCACTACATTATCCTTACAATGTCTTTATTCAGTGAAAAAACAATTATTAATTATCAATAAAGTAATTAAAAGAAATATTTTCATTAGTTATATTGTCTTTATTTTTCTCAAATGTAAAAATTTTTACATTCAAATTCATCAATTGATTATATTCACTATATTATCTATTATTTTTTTGTGCACTATTTTTCCAATTAAATATCAAAATTATAATACAAAATAATGCTATATATTTATTTACCAAGTATTTTATTAATACCATGAAAAAATAAAAAAAATATAATTAATAAAGCCAATCATATTAACTACTTGAGAGATTTTGTGACAATGAAAGTATTCAAATCACACAACAAATTGAAGTGAGAACTACCTCGCAATGTCCTTGTTTGACAATCAGCAGTTAGCGGTTAGCGTTAGCGGATTATACTAGCGGATTTGACCAGCAAATTTATTTAATTATTAACATTTGGTAGAAAAAATGACCGCCAAATTATTAAATCAAATGAATGGTTCATATTGTTCAGGTTTTAATTTTTTCTTTTAAGATTTTCTAATTTATCCTTAATTATATGATTATCCATTTAACTTTTCCGTTAATTCACCGTTAGTCTAATTCTAATATTAAAGTCTAATATAGATTTATAACTACACCATTAATCTAATTCTAATATTAAAGTCTTAATAGAACTTAACCACAAATTCTAATGTCGGAATCTCCTCAAACAATATTAGTATATTTTTAATATTCTATGTCCTAATTTTTATTTGTTCTCCCTTATGTCCCGTATTTGGTTTCAACCATACCTATACAATTATTTTATTGACAATTATAATCAATCTTGACTATATTATATTGCATTTGTAAACTTAGAATTATCTATTTAACCCGCACGAGCTTAGCTCAATGGTTT